GAGTTTATCAGGTTGAACAGCAGACACATCAGATCTGGTGAACATGGACGAAATTTTAGAAGTGGGTGGAATGCAATATAGGTTCAGCATGTTTTCTAGTAGTTCTATGTTTGTTTCCTCCGCTTTCTCTTTCATCTCTGCTATCCCTGTCCCGACAAAATATATGGATGCAGGACATGAACAGTGGACTATTTGGGGTGCAACTGGAGGATCATGAAGTGGATCTGCTGCTTTATGGAACCACTGAAGGTGTTGTTGGTGGAGGGCTTTTACACAGTTCTGTGAATGTAACTTACACTTTGACTTTTAAAGAGGTCTCTTATGTCTCTTTCTTTTCAGTCATCCTGGCAGCAAGCTTAATAACCAAACATACAAACACATGCATCGCATGCACATGACACCAATTCAAAGATGAATGGAAAGTAGGTTTATTTATTCATTAATTAAAATGATTAAAGCCACTTATTCGATTTCATCCGCCATAGTATAAAATACAGGCTAAGAAAGGAGAGGGTTATTTTTCTGACGCGCAGCAGTCAGAACAGATAGATAGCAGAAAATAAAAACTCTTTCCCAGTCCTTTTATGCCCTAAAAGTACAACTCAGTTATATAAATTTTTAACAGGGATCTCAGCTGCTTACTTTGAAAACTAAATATATATTTGTTTACATTAAATTAAAAAAATGTATTTGTAATGTGTACTCTCTCTAAAATTCTCTCTCTGGGAGCAGAGGGATTAACAAATCATGAGAGAAACAAAGAGCCAGACAGCATTGTGTGGTAACTTCATGGTGTTCTGTTCTCTTTTTGCTGTAACAGAATGTTGTAACTTGACTCCAATATTTGTTCATATTTTTATGAGAACACTGATAAGGTTATATATAAAATTTTTCTGGCATGGTTCATTTTCAGATGGTAAATAGCTGGATATCAAATGTGAATAATTATTAACTTCCCCACCCTAAGCAGTCTCCTTTCTATTTCAGGGAAATAAGATCACAGCAGACAAAACAGATTAAATAAAACATTATGTTAACTAAAACTGAATTTGACTGTTTGCTTCTGATTGTTAATTCTTTTTTTTTTTTTTTTTTTTTTGGTTTGCTTCTCTTGTTTCTCACTCGACAAGAATTAGGCTGCAGATGGTCCTCCATTGCAACAGAAAAAGGAAGCAGAATTAAGAATGTTTTTTTTTGCTTGTTTTACGCTTGTTTGACGCCTAAAACATCTTTTCAGATACAGGTAAAATGCATAATGTTTGTCCGTTTCAGCTACTCTAATTAAAAATGGTGACGCAACATGGCCTCTCTCATTCTGTGCACCACCTCCCTTGTGTTTCTAAACTATTAATGTGATTTAATTGGATTTTTGTAGAATCTGTATTATTTAAAGCCACACTTGATTTTTGTTAATTAGAACACAACTACCGTATGTTTCACACTGTCCCTTTAGGTAAAGGTTTAAATTCAGCTACCTTAAAATCTTGTGGTAGATTAGGCATAGATAAACCACAATTACCTTTACCATTTACCTACTGTATATTCAAAAAATGTAAGACTTATGTATAATAAAAATATCATCTGCATTGAGCTAACTCTGAACCAGAGTAAGGAAGTCTGACCCTATACTTCGGTGATTTTACGTCAGGTAAATTAATACGGATTATATATTAGAAAATTGTTATAACTACTCATTAACTGAAAGTGTCACTGATTGTTTTTTTGTTTGTTTGTTTTTTTGTATTCTGTTCATTGACATTTTTTCTATATCCTTTTGTCACTTTTTCAAACCCTAACCTTGTTTTTCTTTCTTAGTTGGAAATGTCAAATGTTTACTGTCTCTGATGAACTTACAGCTGCAGACACTTCTATCAACGGGATGTTGACCCAATGGGAACACAAGAAACAAAAATAAATGTTGCAATGCTCTTAAATAGACAACTGGATGTTATCACCATGTTTATCAATGGAAAAAGGAGTAATCTCTTTGTTTCAGCAGTTTTCTGTTTTCTTTACAGAAAACAAAACCACTTGAAGCCAGGGGACACCAACAGTTCTCTAATAATGAGAGTTAAGACAGCTGTGGGCTCAAAACAAATTGAAGGAATTTGTTGATTACATATTAAACCAGTGTTTCTGAATGCCGGGGTCAGGCCCTATTGTTGGTCTAATGATCCTCTACTGAAAAAGTAAATAAAAAACATATTTGTGAAATAAATCAAAAATGTTTGTATTGCCCACATTTGTTGTACAATCAAGTTAATAATAAGTCATGTCGTATCAACATTAGTTAGGAATGTAAATCTTTAAAGAAAGTAAATATAGGGGAATGTTCATTTATGTTAGAAGAAATTAAGACAAACTATTTGCAGTCATCAGAAGATACAGTTTTTCAACTATGTCTGTGGTTTCATTGTTCTCGTGATGTTCACTTATTAGCACACCGTTTATCAACTGAAGGCGTTTGCAGGCTGAAAGCCTAAAAGTTAAAGACCTAAGCAACGCTGCCACCTTGTGCCCAAAGAGGTGAACATCAACAGCTACCAGGATGACCAGAATTGCATCCCATCAATACCCTGAGTGGAGTGTGTCAATCAATGATATCAGTGACTATTTGCTAGTTTTTACAGTATTTACTATTAATCACATTTAATAACAATGTGACTCAAACATGTATTCAGAAGAGTAAAAAGAAAACAGGAACTAATGCATTTAAAAAAGGTTTACTGGCAAAACATTGGAATCTACTATACAGAGAAAAGGACACAAATGTTGAATGTGCCATTTTTTGACTTAATTCACCCTGTATGATGAAACATTTGAAATCATACCACAAACGATAAAAGGTTTTAAAAAAGCTAATAATAAATAGATAGAGTTTTATCAGATATTAAATTAAATGACCATAACAATTGGAGGGGCTGGGTGGAAGGGTGGCTGTTACCTTTTGAATTTTCTGAAATAAAAAAAAATCAGATCAAACTCTTTGCAGTACAAATTCAGTCTATCATGAGTAATGAGAACAATAACACATTTTAAGCAGTTAGCAGTTGGTATATAAAAAAAAAACACTGTTTAGGCACATCTCAATAAAATGGCATTTATTTAAGAACTTCAATGAAAGTGTGTTATATCTTGTATGGATGAATAAAAAATATATTTATATGAAGGACTTGAATATACTGCAGTGAACTGGTGACCTGTCCATCGTGTACCCGGCCTCTCGCCCAATGACTGCTGGAGAGAGGCACAAGCACCCCTCGTGATCCCACTGGGGATAAGCGTGTTAGAAAATGGATGGATGGATGGACTTAAACATAGTTTGTCAGCTATCATAAGTGTATTCACTCACTACTTAGCTTCCACGGCTTTTGCATAAATATCTGTGCAAAACAAATTGGACCAAATTTAGTGGTCATTCATATTATTGATCCAGAAATTATAATTGAAACAATTTGTGCTTAACTTATAATATAAATACCCATGTAAACACCCTTTGCAATAACCCTTTATAAAAAAAAAAAGCTATCATATGAGGAAGCACTGTATTTACTCTACTGTATATAATTAATCTGCAAATGGAGGGAGGTCATTAAAATTTGCTCTAAGTTTGAGAAGATAGAAAGAGTGAACTGTGTTTCAGATGTCTGCAGATGACTTTATCACAATAACAACCCACCCAGACAATTATGATGAAATGATCTAAATATTCAAAATATTAAATATGGACTAATCTTAAGACTAACAAAAAATGTATTTTTCTGTTGAGGCTGTTTCTATTAATAGGTTTCAGTGAACAGAAGACAGAAGCAACAGTTTTTAATAATGTTTTTTTATTTAATATTTTGCTTCTACTAAAAAAAAAACAACAACTATTGCTTCATAGTAAAACTGTGTTTCTGTATAAACATTTAGAGCGACAATGTGGCTCAGGGGTTCTTTTTTTGGCCCTTGGAATCAATTTTTTTTAGCTTATTATTGCAATTCTAAAAGAATAGAAAATGTGGCCAGCCCGCAAAGCCAGTTGATACAAAAAAGACGAATTTTCAGAAGAAAAAAAAAAATCCCACAGAAGTGAAGCTTTTCCAAAAATAACATCAAGTTAACATTTTCTATATAATACTTTTTTATCGATTTAATATATTGTCAGCAAAATGTCCAGTTGACTAATGGAAAATATATTTAGTGCACCTACCTACTAACCTTGGTTAAATGAAGCCAGATTTTTTCTGACAGATTGACCCACATTAAATTTTGAATTCCATACAAAAAATTAAAAGAGTTCACTTAAAAAAATCAGGGCATTCTATGCTTTTATTCTAGCGGGATGTCCCTATTGTTACTTAAGTCAGACTAGCGTTTGTTGATGCGATTAAAGTTGTGATGTTTTATATATTTTTGTTAAGCTGGTAAATATTAGAAAGCAGGAAATACAATAAACTGTTGTTTTTATTGATGTAATATTTTGTGCTTTTACAATTCTCTTTTTTGATTTTCACTCAGTGTTGTATTAATAATTTCAGTCACTCACTGTCAACACTTAAAATGTCTCACTCTGCATCTGTTGAACTATATGAACTACTGACACAAAATAGCTATGAATAATTTTCTTATTGATTGTGATGCATTTATATGAATAAACGGCATCTTAAAGAGTTGTAGGGATTTCAGTTTTCATATCAGAAAAATGCATTAAAAGAATGAATTCATTCTTGCCAGAGATTATTCGGTGAGGATTTGCGTAATGTAGCGTTGTTTTCTAACCCTTTTAATTGTGTACAAAAAGTAGCAAGTTTGTTTTTGTTGCTTTGGACAGGAAATGTCTGAGGAGGGAAGGCTGAGGAAGGAAACAAAGATAAACATGCACAGAGTAAATGTTAGGATTATGTAGGTTATGTCCAAATAAACCATGTAGTGCATAAATGTCATCATGATGACACACCCATCTTAATAATTTCCTGGTTTACTTAGATTGCACATAAAGAGTAATTTGTTGTTGCAGAGAATATAAAGACGTGCAAGTCTTGAGGCTGATTCAGACTCCCGAGATCATTCACCATGGACAAACGTTTGCTGCTGGTTCTGTTGTGCCTGCAGGTCTTCCTGCTCATCGCAGCCTCAGAGACGGAGACTCCAGAGGCCCCTCAGGTAATAAGTGCCACTAAGGAAAAAATAAATGCCTTTTTCATATTAATTATGCAAATTGAAATCATTAGGTCTTTTGTTTTGTCTTTTTACAGGTGGAGCAAAAAGCTAATCCTCCCAAAAAAACTAAAAGTTGTAGGAGGATAAATGGCAGATGTGTCCGGCGTCCGGTGAGGCCTAATTCCTCTGTTGCATTAACTGCTTTAGATATATTTAATACATTTAGTGAAAGGTGTTTTCTGCAATGGGTCAGTTTTAACTTTAAAAGATTTTTATATTTGTTTTACAGACCCAATCAAATGAACAATCAACATCCAAACCTGATTATAGGTAATCAATCATTTTGAAACAAATATTCAGGAATGTTGATACTAATTCAAAAAGCAGACAAAAAATAAACCCTTTATGGCAAAAAATATGTTTAATAAAAATTGTTTTTTCACAGACCTGGTGTTTTTAGTGCTATACTGACAACCTAAAGCCAAGTGGACACAGAAGGCATCATTTATGAGTGTAAACCACATTTGAAGACTAAAAGTTTTTATGTTTTTTCCTTGAAACTGTTGCATAGATGATAATAAAATGAAATTATGTATCTCTCTTTTCTTCCTTGCAGTTTTCTGCACTTTCTTCCTGTATATGGTGAGCTATAAGGAACTAACCGGTGGAGAGGATTTGGAATCCCACCTTCTCTTCCTGAAAGTTGTGCATTTAATAGGAATTTCCTTTTCTGCAAAATTAAAATTCTTAATTGCATGTGCTTCTTAATAGTATGTCTTTCTACAACCTGATTTATTAACTTCCTTCAAAACATGTATTAGACTCGGTATTTGTAACAAAGAATCACATCAGTGCTCCTGTGTTGTTAATGTGGAAAGGAGGTTATTAACGAATGGGTCTAAAACCCCACCCAGGCATGCTTTAAGACGTCTGATTCAGGAATACACTGTTTTGTATCAGCTTTTGTGCACATCGTTTAAAAGTATCATCAAATTAATAAAAACTTAAAAACCAATTCATTTGTGTGAGTGTAATCCATTTTTACCTTTTGTTTTATAAGGTGTTCAGTTTTCAAATATTTTCTTTGACATTCTTAGACCTCATTAGAGTTTTTTTCAGAAAACACAAGTTGTATTTACAGAAAGACAACACATTTATTCTTATGCTTTTTGTGTTTTTCCTGCATTAGTTCATGGAATTTCTGCATAACATTGTTTGGTGCTCAAACTGTAAACCATTTTTTTAAACCAGACTATCTAAAAATAAAGAAAAATCTCCAATTCAAATAATTCCTATACAAAGATTTAGCAGCTAAATTATAATTACTATAAATACTTTACTATAAATTACTAAACAATGTTAGGTGTATGTAAAAAAAAATTGAGTCAAAAATCACCAAAGGAATCAAAGGAAATGCCCCTTTTCTTTGTTCTTTTTATGAGTGATTTAAAGAAACACTTGCTATATATTTTATTCTGAAAGGAATGTGACTGAGTATTCAACATCCAGAGTAGGAAGCAATGCCCACACATTTTCAGATAAAGGTTTAAAGCCTGAAGTGGCAGTATTTGGGAAAATGTTAGAGCAGAACCAAAATGGAACTAAAAAACAAGTTCAGACAGACCATTTATTATGGGATATTTAGTATATGGTTTTCAAAAAAAAGAAGTAATTCTATATTTTGCAATATAGAGCAATACAGCAATTTTCTGCAATTCCTTTGCCTAATCTAGATGAGGGAAAAAAACTGATCACACACAAGCTTTGGATTTTATTGAAGCAGATGTATAAACTAACATATAGTTTTTAAAAAGCATATTCCTTGACCCTTATTATATTATTATATATTATAACCCAAAGGTTCAGTGTAATAAAAGAGTGCATTAGAAAATGTATATGGGCTTTATTTTTATTTATTTTTTTCAGATTAAATTCTGAAAGGTGTGGCATGCATTTTGTAGAAAATACTTCACAGATCCATTGTGTTTACGTCTGCAATTTCCTTTTGGAGTATTTTTCTTTGCACATTTAAAAACAGAAATAAAAAAAAAGTCAGATTGGTTAAGAAGTATTTGTTGACATGAGTTTTCAATTTTTTTTTTATTCTCAAGACTTTGGTCTGGATTTTCAATGGGCACTCTAACTCATAATATGCTTTCATTTAGTTGCATTGCAAATCATGTTATATGTTAAGGTTTGTTCTCCTGCTGGAAGGCGGACTTCCAGCCCAATGGCTATTGCTATCATGTTTTCCTCCTGGACCTGCGTGTTCCCAGTGAATCCCTGTCCTTCCTGAAGAAAAGCAAGTTTATGTCCCCAAAATCCTATTCATGAGCAAAGAATGAGAGGGAATTCATACATATTTATGCCCATATCTTGATTTGTGACAGAAAAATAAACCATTCTATCATTTGGCTGGTAAGGCAGTGCAGTAAGTTGCACCTAAAGGATTTTACTTGATACATGGAAGAAAAACAGCCTTAGGACTGCCCTTTATGTATGGAGTGATGCCTCAGTGTTTGTGCTGTTCCGCTGGTGTTGTCGTGTTCCTACATTTCTGCTTTGGACTCAATCTAAACATAAAAGGACATTAGATATAAACCTTCCAGATGAATGGTTTTAGCGGTGTGGTTTCTGTCTTCTGTCTCTTAGTCATCTTTATGTGAGTCATCATCTGCTGAGAAAGTCATGCATGTGTATTATTACCAGGGGAACATGCCTGCTGATTCTCCTTATGCGGTGAGACTTCATTTACCATGAACGACTTCTACTACTTTATTTGGTTAACGATGATAAAAATAACATCCTCCGTAACTTCTGGAGTTAGTTTATATATTCCGAGGTATGGAAGGTGTCAGAGGGTTTATGTTGAGACGTATAGAATGAAAACACTTTTATTCCACATCTGGTCAATATTTACCCACTTTCCATAAAAACACACAAGTAAATGAAACCCCTTTCTCCAAATCCTTTTTTGAGTTGTAACCTAAAACATGTTTGAATTCCTTTCTTTATTGTAGCTGTATTGTTTATCTAGAGAATAACAAAAGTGGTCAAGGCTTTGTTTGCTTTAGTCAAAAACCCTTCCTGATGCCGGATGTAATGACAGATGGATCTAGTTTAGGTTCATTCTCTCATCTGCAAATAGATATATTTATTTTTGCTGTGAAACACACATTACTGTAGATTTCTTCTTGATTTCTTCTATTTTGTCTCAATTTAATATTTTAGAATATCAGTTAAATGGTACTATCAGACAAAGATAACCTAAAGGAATAAAAAAGATATTCTCCAATTCATGGAAACTTTCCTCTATGTGAAAAAGTAAATTCCCCTCTAAACCGCTTTTTTGTCTAAGGCATTTATGACAAAGAAGTATAAGTTTTCTAAATCAACCTGAAGATATTTTGTCTCTTTGAAGAACTGAGTCACATTGTAGGCTAGATATGGTCTAGTAACGTAAATAAATGCTAAATAAAATAAGCTCATGAATGGTAATTTATAGAAAGATCACAAAGCTCCATTTTTCAAAATTTTTGCTACCACTATGTTTTGTCTATAACCTTTAAATTATGTCTTCACAGCACTGTAGATCAGTGTTGTACAGTGGGGAAAAAAATTGTATCATAGCACAGAAAAATCTTAACCATTTATTGATAGTTGACAGAGCAACATGTAGCTAACAGATGGCTTAAAGTTTAAGTTTAGATGTATTGAATCAGTCTGCTTTGTAATGATATTTATGCCTAAAAGGCTCTTAAAATGTTAAGAACTGCTGGTTTGACACGTTATTAGTGTTACTTTAAATGTACACTTGCACGAACAGAGCTGGTTGTTTTATGATCAATTAAAATGAAACTTCAAAGGCTGTTTTTCAGTGCATTTCCAATGAGTGCTTGTAAATGTTTTTTTTATTGAAGCAGCTTTGCCTGAAGCGCTCTTTGAAGCAGCTGGTTCCAATCTCCGCCCACTAGTGCTGCACCAGGATCTGAATCAAGGCAACCCTGATCTCCACACAGCAGAGAACTACAGTGCAGAAGCCTGGAAACAGAAAGAGCCAAATCCAACACAGTGAGTAACTTACAAATACATATGTGCAGAATGAGATTAGTAAAATCTTATCCTTTTGGATCTCAGTATTTTGATATTCTTAGAGGAGCAGTGTTTGTTGTAGTTTACTTTCCTGTTTCTTTGTTTTATTTGCCAGTTGTTAGAAACTGCTCTATATAACCCTTCATTTGTAACTTAAAGTTCTATATTATGCTAAAACAGGTTTTCAAACATATATATTAAAAAAAACAATGTGTTAATTCATGAAGCTCATATTAGAACATGACTTAAAACATAATACCATTATCAATATGGTCTATTGTTAGAAATGCATGAATAACTTTAAGCTTTGGATCCAGTGTTTGTCACAGCTTCACAATTTTTAATGAATGTATTCATTAATGTAGCTTTCATTTGGTAAACTTGTATTTGTATTATTTTAATAAACTGGACATGCATTAAACATTGCAATGCTTTGAGCAACAACGGAATTTGATGGAGCTGAATTCTTGTCATAAAAATTTTTAATAAAGTCCTAAATGTAGTAGACAGCCCCTTTTGGTTTTATTCAAACATTGAAAAGCAAAATGAGAGAGAGCCACTTGTCATTCAATAAGTTAACAAATGTGCCTCTGGATGCTGAAAAGTTTCAGTGACAGCCTGAAAGTTGACTGTTGCCATAGTTATTTGGACAATTGGGAGGAGACTTCTGGGTATTAGGTTGATTTGCATACAGTATGTATTTTGGGAGTGGGGCAAAATACACATAGGCTGATGTCATTTTTGACATCAGCCTCATAATTGATGAGGCCCATCATTTCTGACATGATCGACTCTTTTATTACTCTTAAAATGCTACACATAATTTCCCTCTTATATTATTTTGATACTGTACTTCAGAATATGCCATGAAATATTTATTAAATGCTCCAGACTAAAAACGTGACTAAAACAGAACTAATTAAAGTAAATATGTGATATTTTTCATCTACTCAGTCGGACTTCAGAGATTTAATGAGCAATATCTACCAAGTAGCAACAGCAGGAAGGTAATATGAAGAAAAGTCGACCTGGACTTTCTAAACCTGGACTATAATTCAAACAACGCTATAAAATGGCTATTTCTAGAAAAAAGAAATTCCAAAAAATAAAGATATCAAAGTTTACAAACTGTATTTAAAAAAAAAACTGCACTAAGTCTGGGCTGCACCATTTTTTATTCTTTTTTTAGATATAGATAATGATCCATTGATTATCCCTTGCTGACCTGACTTTTCCTTTAAAACATAACCCAGAAGACCTGAGGCTACATTCACAGGAAAGATGATCTTGTACAGTATTCACTCAGGGCGTGAAGACTAATGCATGGCAAGAAAAAAATGTATCCTTAGAAAATATGAAAATCATGTTTTATTCTATATTCCCTGAATAATTAATTTCTACTTTGCCTTGGTCATCACATAAAATCCCAATAACTTCAAATAAACCTATGAAGTTTTTTTAGTGATGTGACAATACACTTAGGTATAAAGTGGCATGAATATTCCTGTAAGGCTCTATAAGAACTGCGGTAAAAGATCATTTCGCAGAACTCATGGTGATGAGGACTTCCTCATTTTGTCATCTACCCAGTGGTGAACAGTTGTTGCGGTGAAGCAGAACATATGATCTAGCAGAAATAGATTAGTTTCATGATTATCACTTGTTATATTGTCATGTGATCCTAAGCTCCGTGGTTGAAAGGTTTTCTCTCCTCTTTTTAGTTCTGCCGGCATCTTGACTCTTAATTCATTTCCTTTTATCGTTGACTCTTACATTTCGCAAAATGACCAAAACTGATACAGTTTCTCCTGCTTACATTGTGTACAGCTTTTCCAGACAAAAGACATGATGTCTGAACCCCTCAGACCAGCTGATGCTTTTGCATCAGTGACCTTAGGAAGTTAAACAGTTGTTGCTGCTCACTTGTCCTTTTTAAGGCATGCATTCTGTAAGTGCTTTGCTCTGCACTGTGAAATACTTGGGGATTTTTTGTGCACATGATCTGGTTCATATATTCTGCTGTCCCTGTTTGGCTTTTGTTAAAGTACGTTTGTCAATTTGTCGCATTTCTGAAAAATTAGATTAGAGATTAGATGAGATGAGCTTTATTGATCTCACAGCGAAGAAATTCACTCGTCACATATTGGCATAGAAGTTACAGAAGGTGCAAACAGGGAGGAAAAAGGTGCATTAAGAATAAGCAATATATATACAGTATATCCAGGTATATACAGTATATCAAGATAAATAGGATTAAGGATTAACTTCAGAGATGGTCTCACATTTACCACATCAATGTTGAAAACCTTCGAGGCTCTTTATTCTTCCTTCTATGGTCTAGACAGGGTCGTCTGAAGCTCTGCTGGGCTTTCTCATTTTTTGTTTTTATTTTATTTTGGTGTTGTATCTTTATTATGATTATTCAAGGTACCGGTATAAAAGTAATGAATATTGATTAAACATCCCTTATTAGATATGAAATGTCTTTTCAATTATTAATTGCCATGCTGAATTGTGCCCTTTTTCACAATCCAAGCCAGCTGGCATGATAATATACAGCAGAGAATGGTCTGGAGATCCAAATAAATCTCCTGCATTATGACACTTCACACCATCACTGCTCCTCTTCTGTGGCTTGTCTGTGTAAACTATTATCTCTATGTATTAAAACTCACCTGCACCCTACACAGACATGACAATCCTCTGCTTGCATGATCTGAGTGTTTCTTTTGGTCTCTGCACGCTCAGTTCCCCTCTTCATCTTAATCATTAGCAGCAGGGTTTTCTCTGCAGCAGCTCCACTACAAACAACTACTTTAAGTTTTCTTAAATTGAGCGTTTCAATTAAAAAATCTAAATCTCTAGCTGGATCCCTGAGTTTCCTTTTCTGGGTTTAAATATGAGTTTCTCTTTGGCCACTAGGTTGGATGGGGATTTGCATTCATACTACCACCAAAGATAGTCAGCAGGATAATAAGGGAAGTTAAAACGTTTCCTAAGCTTAATGAGAACTGCAAAAAAGAGTGGCATGTTTTTAGCCTGATAAACCAGACCATATTTGAGATTAAATGTGTAAATTTGCAGGCAAAAATGATTTTGGCCACTGGCGGATGAGGCTAGTTTATAGACTAGCATGTTGTGGTAAGATAAATTAAAAATAAATAACTAAACATAAATCGCTAACTTTTTTTTTTTTTTTTATCTGCATGTAAATTAGTTGATTTGATAGAATACTGGCAGAAAAAAAAAATTTTCATCCTACTATTCCAAATATAAACAGCTGCAGTTTGGTCATTGCTAAACTGAAATGAATAATCCATGACAGTGAATGTTTGGAAAAGCTGTCATTTGCAGAGTACGGAGAAGACTCTGTGATGCTGTGGGCCTTGCTAGAGCAGAACGTCATGAGATGTTTCAATATACAAGGACCTTTTTAATACAAATCTGGTGGTTCCAGAAAACTTAAAATGCTTTTTTTTATTGGGTCTTTAAGAAGGATTATCGTACAAAATATACGGTCAAATTAAAACAGAAAAGTTTGGTTTGATCTAAAATCAAAGCCTTTGTAACTTGTTACCATGTCTTTTTTTTTTTTTTTTTGTCTCTGAAAGGACGTAGAAAAAAAATCATGTCTTACTGGCAAAAGGAGATTAACAGGGTCTTAATGTTTAATTATTATGTTTTTTTTTGTTTTTTTTTTACTGAAATTTGACCAAATACTGTCCACTGAAGACCATGTCAGAAGCAGAGCAGCAGCATGTTATTAAACACTTTTTGAGAAAAGCTACATTGGAAACATTAAAAATACATTTCTATTCAAACAAGTAGATTCATATCTAAATTAATACCTTTATCATTATCATATTTATGGCTTCAGTAGAAATCTTATTTTTATTAAATTAAATGTTTTTAGTTTTTGGTGATGTAGATGACTAAAGGATGTGATTTTGTCTAGAAGTATGATTTCTATGTCTGCTAAAACCAACCTAAGTGACTCTATTTTGGCACAATTTAAGTATAATTGTCGACTTGTCACTGATTAACAAAATGAAAAACAAAGAAGTAAAAGTTTTATTTTTAGATCACTGTTACCTTCAGCCTCTTCCCACAGAATGAAAATAAAGAATAAAACAAAGAACTGGTGAGAAGGTGTTTCTATAATGTGTCTACCAGGCCCACTGTTACCCTGACATGATCTCTGACCAGTATCCAAAAGCAAAACAAGCTTAAAAAAATACTGATAAAATTCTGATGAAATACAGATGATGAAAAGCTGATGTGTCTTAAAGCTAAGAGCCAGAGAATTTCAGGCATTTTGTTTTTAGCCTCTGCTTGTGGAAACTTGGTCTCCTCCTCTGGACTGTGTTCTTATCTTTCAGCAGAAAGGCAGATGAGCTCATGAAGCGAAAGGTTCCAAAAGTGTAAAAAACATGCCGGTCAACACAGGATTAGCTGATATTGACATACTATAGTGAAGCCAGACATATTGGCTGATCTCTGTGCTCGTTTCTGTCTGAAACAGAGGAAGTCTAATGTGTTTAATAGTATGACATCTGCAGTCATACTATTAAATTCCTCCAGTTTCTCTAGTGCTGATATGTTAATATCTCAATAGGATATCTATCGCAGATCTCTGGTAGTTTTGAAACCCCAGCAGCATTTCTTAAACACATCTCTGTTAATGGTCATACATCTTTTGGTGTTTATTATCCTTAGACACAGCTGGAATCTTCTCCTCTAGAAACAACATCCTTGTTTTCACAGATGTATTGAGTTGGGATAGGCAGAGCAGGAAGGCCAATCAGGCACAGGTGTATGTCAGAAAAACAGGATTCTTTAATTTAACCCAAAAGTATAAAATGTAACAAGTACAAATAGGGAGCAAGAAAAGAGGTCAAAGGATCGAAAACTACTGAAAATATTTGATAAAGAACAAGACTGACTCAAACAAACTGACCTCCCTTAATGAGACAAAGGGGAAATTAAACAGTGGCTTATCAGTCCACAAAAGAAACTCATGGAGCAAAACATACAAAAACTTAACTAAACCAAATAAAGTGAAACCCTATTTCCCCCCATTGCATTGATGTGATACGGTCCAAATCATCTCACCCCTTGGCCACCTGCTGGTTCCTCAGCCAAGGGACAGGAGCAACTGCAAAACTCAAATGGAATATCAATTAAACACAATTATAACAAAACAATAATACAGTGTAATGGTGATGAATAAATTCTAAATAATGTGATTTCTCTGTAATGAAACCCTGTATACAACAATTAAATGACATAAATTGTGTTTAATGCCACATCTGTGTGGCTGTAAATACAGCAATTACATGAGCTAAAGATGATTTCTTGACTAAGTCAAATAACAACAAGATAATTCATTTTGTGTTGGGAAGGACTAATGTTGTGGTAGAAAGGATCGGAGGGGTGTACATTGAAGATCTTTATGTTTGAAATACAAAATGATTTACATCCAGACATGATAATGGGATAGAGAATTCATATAGAACAGAGAACTTAATGAGAAACAAAAGAGGTTATTTTATTGTGCTATTATGAAATATCATACAGAAATAAAAGCTTTCGTGCTTTGTGGAAAAAAAAGATTAAGTTTAAGTTTAATAGTTTTAGGGAGATTTTCTTGAAATCTTTAACACATAAAATAAAAAAAAGAAACACCAGCAAAGGAAAAAGAAAAACTGTCCTCTTTTTTCACCCAGACAGGCACTTATAATATATGCATTACCTCAGTATACTCTCACTGGAGGTGGAGAGGTTTATTTTGTGTGCTTCAAAGTAAAAGCAAAAATGTTTTGAGTGTCAAGATATTACAAAATGAATACACTTTAAAGAACAGTTTGTATTTCAAGTTTGCCCTTTGAAATGACTGAAAACACATCCCTACTCATTTTTTTGTCTGTCTTTTATTCTTTGCTTCTTACATCAAAGACGAATTACCAATACTTCCAATTACCCATTTTTGTTTTTTGTCTGTTTTTTAGTGTCCAGAATGTAAACAAAAAATGCCCTCCATATTTAAAAAGATTTTTAAGCCTTTCTAAATAGTAGTCTGATTTTGAGTATTAAAACTATTAGTGGTTTGTTTTGGGTTTTTTTTTTATCAGTTTTAAAATGATTTTATATAAAGATTTAAAGTTTGAGCAGAGTTTTGTTTTGTAAAAAAACAAAACCAAACTGTAACGAATCAACAAGTAAACACTGAATGGAGGAAGCAACAGTTAGATCCAAACGTGCTGTGTCTAGTTTTAATGGGTTACAGGAAAGGATGAGATCATCAGATGGATAAGAGACTGTAATTGACCTGCCCTATACAGTTATTGCCAAGATAATGTTGCTCTCCAGATTTTTTCTTGGTAAGTTGCAAATACACCCAAATTACTCTGCCTGAGTTTAGAAATGTTAAATAGAAAGTCTTCTGTTTTGAATTTACACCACAATCTCTAAATTCTGCTTGGAGTTTTAGTTCCACGTCCCTTAATCAATTTTACCAGAATTTTGTTATAAAACAAGTCACTTTTTGGGAAGTCACACCCAGAACATGTGTAAATGCTTTACCTCATTGAGTTTTGTTTGATGAACTAGTGACCTGCCTCATTGCTTTTTCCCCACAGATGTTTTTCTTCCTTTTTTATATAGTTTGGTACTGAAGAGATCAAAGTTATCCATCTAATGTGCACTCTTGAATTCAGTAATATATGTTTGGTTTATCAGCATGGATGTAATCTTAGTCAGTGTTTGCTTTTGACCTTTCATGTCCAAAGACTCTTTGCTGTTCACCCTCAAAGGCTGAGATTTACCTTATTAATTAAATTATATCAAATGTTCTTAAAGCTATGGTAATGTAAACCCTCTTGATAAATAGTACAGAGGTCCTCATAAGGTTCAATGCTGAATGTTTAGAAAAAACACTTTTGTTTGAAGAATATAATGGAGATCTGCACTTTAAGTCAAAGAGATGGTTAGAAGAAGAGCAGCGTAGACAGTGGAGGTTCCTAAATAAATGGCTCCACAGGAAAGTTCCTACTTTGGCACCCATTGATCTAATGCTGCCCTGGACATCTGCTCATCTTAAGTGCCAGGTTTATTCATGCAGATATTCCTAACCCGACCCAAACAGTCATTGCTCTGAGATGATTCTGATATGGCTTATCAACATTAAGATTTTTTTTTTTTTTCATTCACTTTCCTTCTCCAACTTTGGATTAAAATTAAGAATTAGAATTAGACCATAAAAAAGACCTCCCTCTTGACACTTTAAATGTATTTGAGTATTATATTTTTACACTATGACTTGGAATTATGAGTAATCCAGAGCGTAGATTATAACCATAACCGTCACGTACAATGTGTTAGCGACGATGGATACCAAAAAGAGGTACTTAAACGGATTCCAGAAAAGAAAAAGAAAAGAAGAGCTGCTGGAAGAACGGAAAAAAACTTGTGATTGGGGTGTTGTACTTCACATGAGGCCCACCCAGATAATGATTCTTACGTGCCTATTATTGTGTCGTTACTCCATTGCTACATAGGCTGAAGATCTTAAAGCTACAATGTGAAATTTCAGCGATATCTAATGGTCAGATTGCAGACTGCAGTAAAATGAACCACCATCCCACACTGCCTCTCCCCTCCAACATGACAGAGGCCTTCATGGTTTAAAATGGCTTCTGCAACATCGCATTACTGTACCTATCTTGTCAAGTGATGACGAGATTCATTTAGAGTAGATCGAAGCATTAAGCTTTTAAAAAAATGGTTTTAGTTTAACTTTAGTGCGATTTAACCAAGCAGACAAATTCTGTTCTGACTCGATCCTCTATTGTTGGCCTTTAGTTAGCTCTGGTGAAGTGTAACCTCATGGGGGCCATCAGCTCTCTGTTTTGTAGCAGGCCTCTCCGAGCTGCCACTGTGCTCTTCAGCTTTCCTCCGGAGCTAATAGCGGCAAGCTGCCACTACTACCTCTGCAGCTGTGGTTCCTTAGCTACAGGGGGCGGCCCTTGTTTTGGGCACACCAAAGCAATTACGGACTGATGGAGCGCAGCAGAAAGATGTAATTCTGCTCAGGAAAAACACAAAAATGAAACGACCGGCAATTCAAATTAGTCTATTCATAATAACCAGGCGGTTGTCGATTATGTCCGTCGTAAATCTAGTTTACATGGATAATTTTGTAAATAGTATTGTTCTAGTATAGTACTAGTCTGTGTAGGACTGGATATAGGCTTAACTTTCGAGCCTCTATTGTCAGCTCTGTGCTGCCGTAGTGCAAAAAATGTCTGCCTCCACAAATGCAAACCCACTCCTATGTAATTACAAATAGCAATTTCTAAGGCCACGCAAACAAAGATTGAGACGCACACTACATGGATGATAATAGATAACTTACATATAGATTATATATAGGATTTATGCCAGTAAATCCCTGCATTTATTATACACCGTACCTTAAATGTTACAGATCAAGGCAAGTTGAAACAATTCAATAATCAGTATTTAATTCTGAAAGACAAACATAATTTTTTCACACTTAAGAAATCATGTTACAAACTGTCATCAATTTAAATACTTGTAAGAATTATTGAAAATATTTTTCTTTTCTTTTTAACAGAGATCATGGCTGTCTCACATGATGAGGACTACTACTACCATGAAAACATCAGCCTCAACTACAGCTATGAGGACTATCCAGCACTGTGTGAGAAGGGTGATATCCGATCTTTCGCTGCCTACTTCCTTCCCATCATGTACAGTCTGTGTTTAGTTGCAGGACTGACAGGAAACGTTCTGGTCCTGGCAGTATACGCTTACCACAAACGGCTAAAGACCATGACGGACACATTCCTGAGCCACTTGGCCGTGGCCGACTTGTTGCTTCTCTTTACGTTGCCTTTCTGGGCCGCTGATGCCGCCAGAGGCTGGGAGTTGGGGGACACCGTCTGTAAAATCGTGTCGGCCTGCTATACCTTGAACTTCAACTGCTGCATGTTGCTGTTGGCCTGCATCAGCTTGGACCGCTACCTGGCAGTTCTCAGACTGCAGGGTGAAGCTGAAAGAGGGAGATTACAGAGGCTTTTTAACAGGAGGCACTGCTGGAAATGGTGCTTAGCTGTCTGGGGAACGGCCTCTCTTCTTGGTCTACCAGATTTAATCTTCTCAGAAGTATTGTGGACATCACATAGGAATGTCTGCGTGGCCATCTACCCTTCATCTATGGCTCGAAGTGCTAAAGGTATCCTGGAGGTGGCTGAGGTTCTACTGGGATTCCTCCTTCCTCTCCTGGTCATGGTGATCTGCTACTGGTCTGTTGGTCGAGCTCTGAAAAGCCTACCCATTGAGAGCAGGGGGAAGAAGTGGAGAGCTCTGCGGGTTCTCCTGATAGTAGTGGGGGTGTTTGTCATCACTCAGCTTCCATACAATGTGCTAAAACTGCACCGTGCCATGGATTTAGTGTACATATTTGTGACCCACTGTGGGACAAGCAAGGTGCTTGATCAAGCAGCCCAGGTGACGGAAAGCCTTGCACTTATTCACTGCTGCATTAACCCAATCCTTTACGCCTTTATGGGGTCCTCCTTCAGGCAGCACATGGTGAAAGTTGCTAAGAACTTTGGAGAGAAGAGAAGAAGGAGAAGGAGGCCACAAGGAAGGGATGAAGAGTTGGACATGTCGTTTAATTCTCACAGTGTAACTCTGGAGACAAACTCGTTCTCAGTTTAAGTTCATCCCATTGTTCTCAAACTGTTTTACTGGGTTACCTTTAATGGTCTTCAAAGTATATTGTGTCAACCATGCATGTAATTAGCCTGAAGAGTTAATCAGCTGCCAACTGGAGCTACCTACACTACAGCCAAATGAGGAAACTCTTTAATCCAAAATGGACGTTCTGTTTCAAACAAAAAATGCTTTAAAGAGAAGCAGGAAAGAGAACATCTGAGAAATCAAAGATACACTGAAGTGGTTAACAATTAATAAAGAATGGATGCAGGTGGCTACCTCTGAATTTGAAATATGGGTCTAGAAAAACATTCATCCAATCGTTACATGTTCCATGCCAAAGGACAGAGGGATATGATGATGACTGATATTTTCTCTCTGCACTTCGAAGTCTGATTTGTCAATTCCAAGTTGGAATAGCAGCAGCAAAACATCAAAAAAAAAAAAGTGACCATCTATGAAAAGCTGACTAACAGTATTATAGGTTAATATCAGTTACTTTACTTCATAACCTTTGATGTCTTATGTTACAAAACATCTTTATTGATAAAAGCAGTAAAATTTTCTCTTTAGAAAAGAATCAATGAAACAGAAATGAAGAAATAAATGTTTTAATAATATTGGATTTTTAGGTTTGTTGTGATAAGAAGCCTCTGACTTCCTAACTTAAAATCCTTGCCTAAATGGATATTTATGAAAATGTTTTTTTTCCCCCAATTTCTTTCTCTTTATGGTTTTGTAAAAGTATTTATCAACCTAGAAATAAAAATTAGTCTTGTTTTAATAGTTTTAAAATGTAAAATAATAGCAGTACTTCTTTTAAAACATATGAAAACAACTGATGTTATCTATTAAACTAGGTGAGTATTTCAATGCGGAATTGAATTAAAACATGAATTATACAATATATGCACATGCTTTGATCGTCTCATAGATTTGTATCAGAATTAATTTCCTTCACATTGAAAAAACAGGTTATTACAAATAAGAACAAATATGGACTTTTGAAAATAAAACCTCTTCTTCCTAGACACTAATGTTGAGCGGGCTTTTAAAGCAACCTTTAGAGCTCTTTTCATTTTATAGACTTACAAACTGGCTTAGATTTCACCCGTTTCTCTCCAAAATGAAGCCGGTAAAGTGGTGCCGACTGCCAGTACCTTTTGTACATCTGTCAAAGAAAGCATTCCTGGATCAGTGGGATCTTAAACACTGTCAGCTGTAGTGGAATGCTTGGTTCTTCTTCCTGTAAAAAAAGGGAGTATTTCTCTCCACTGTTGCCACAAGCATGCTTGGTAGGAGGGTTGCTGTAGAGGAAATGATAATGCAAGCGTCTGTCCTCTGTCTCTATATGCCGTTTTAGAAGAAGTGAATACTGAAAGTCGGTAAGTTCATGCAAGCTGCTGGGTTCGTTTAGATGAAAGTCTTTTTGATAAAGTACACAGTTTGATCTAATTTAATTAAGTGCCTTGAGATTACATTTTGTGAATTTGTACCATATAAACAGATTTACCTGAGCTGAATTGTTTTAATTGTATAAGAAATATTTATATTTTCAGTTGATTATAACAAGCTAACTTTCTAATCAAAAAGCTAGAGCCAATATATAGATATATTTTTGATCAAAGCATATCTGTAAATCCTTTTCTCTTGAGACTAGATTGATAAACATCCAAGCTTTCATCCCTTTAACTGCACAGCTAGTGTTCCCGTCTTTGCTGAAACATTATTTAGTTTAAACTATTTATATAGACATCCCAGTGCTTATATAAAGTTATGAGGGACATATTTCTCCTGGCTTTCACTGAGTTTAACCCTCTGATCAGCTCAAACAGTTCAAAGTACACATAAGATGAAACTCTTGAACTTTAGACAAACAAAACGAAGCTGTGTTTTATAGGAGATTTATATTCTAGTAATTTATTGCTCATTCTAATCATATCCAGAGTGAGCAAATGCACCAGATGTCCTTGATGGTGCACATATGTACTTCTGCTAATCAAACACACATGCCTTCTCTGACTCTGAATAAAGCTTGGGCACCTTTTTTTGGTTTGCTGTAAACACATTTCTTTGTTTTTTTTTCCTATCTTTCAGTCAACTGTGATGCTCAATTCTGTAAAAGAAAATAGCAATACTCCAGACAGGTTTGACATCCCAAGGGATCTATATCTCATACCAGCATACCCTGATTGTCATTTCCTGGAATGCTTTTAACATCTGAAGACAAGCTTTCTGCAAACATTCGCCTCGAGTTTTCTTCCCAGCGAACACAAACAACTACACATCAGAAACCACTTCTAGGAACCTCTCAGGATTTGAGGGCAAATCTTGATGCACCGCTGCAAAAATTAGAGCAAAGGTTTGGGAGTAGCAGCATGTTGTCAAACAGTAGAGGAACAACTTTTAAACATTCACTGTGGAATTCACCACCCAGAACTTACACCATTACAAACAAACAAAAAACTAGAAAAAAAAGGTTAAAAGCATCTGGTTATCTGCTGTGATCTGTGATTTTACATTTTGACAAGGGTTTGTTTGATCATCAAATACCTTGGATATTTAAACAGATGCAGGCCATTAACTCCCAGATGATTAGATTAGCAAAAAAAGGTGTTTTTCATGCCAGATTCCCACTTTTGATCAAATGATGCTTCAAGTTGTTTGTGCACTCGGATATGGAAAACACCTGTCTGAAGCAAATACATTTTAAAAGTTCAAATTAATGAAGTCAAAAGTGAAGTAAGGGAATATCCATTTTTCCAACTGTTTGGGAGCAAACCGACCCCTGACATCACCATACTGACTGCTTCATTTGCCAGGGACAGAAAGATTGTAGTAGGGGAAAACCAGTTTAATAAAGAAAATAGAAAGTGCAAACAATACATTACTTAGTTTAAAGAAAACACAGAAATTACTCTTCTGGTTTTGACTCATCAATTTAGAAAGATGGCAAACTCAGTTATTTAAATAAAGACATTTAAACTAGTTTCAGCAAAAAAATATCAGAACAATTGAGCCTTATATAATTAAATTACGTATAAAATTAATTATTTTAATATACAATTGTGATATGACCAAAAGGCAGTGTCTGTAACAAACAACAGAAAACATTCTGGCTTTTTTAATGATACAGCAAAACAAATAAGCCAACACCTTAATTCTCTGCATGCCACATTTTTAAGAAACAGAACTGTGACAGAAGTGGTCAATTTGACATATAAAAAAAGAGGGTACATTCTCAAAATATACTCAACCTTGGTTGAAACACAAAAAGTAAACTAAATCCACTCTGAATGAATACAAATTATTGTAAAAAAATAAACTGCAAAAAAACCCAACATGCAGTTGCATAAAATAAATGCATTTAGGCAATTGTTCTATTGTCAGAAGTTCACTGTAGTGTGTTGGGTGTACAGTTGGACAGTAAAGATGACCAGATATGTTTTTTAAAGGCAATAATGGCACACGAAGTAGCAGCTGTGCAATACTAACAAAACAGGAATTAATTCTTGGAGGTGTTTTTATAAAGAGGGCAACAGAGTGTAGGCAGGATGCTGAGACACCATCAGAGATCAGTAATTGAGGATCTGCATATCAAACAGGTCACACACTCCTGCACCGTCATCCAGATTGAAGCTGTAATCTATACCTGTATTTGTGGGAAAAAACACAAAACAAGGAATAAGAGACAATATCAGTAAATTACAAACACACACATACCACATTTTTAAACAACAGGGGTGGAAATCTAATGACGTTTTCATTCCTGCACTGCAGATCTGCAATTTTCAGAATATCTTTCAGAGCTGTTTCCACACACTAAAACATGCCATCAACAGTAATGCTCACTAGATTTCTACCAAACATTTTCCAGCTCCTATTAGGTATAAATGCAGTTTATCCATTAAAGTCAAGTTAAAAAGTTGCTAAGAATGTGAAAATAAGGGCCCTAGAACAAGTATCTGCTTGTTTGGCTACTGGATCGGCTCAGATGCATGTGGTACTGATAACAGCGCAATCAGTAATAAGGGTCATCCATCATTCCTCACAAATTCTCCCTACACATGCAGTCTGTTAAAGTTCCAGTTGTGAGAATGCATCCGTGGCAAAGAGCTTCTTTCTTTTAAGTGAAATACAGGCACGGATAATTTAAAGCATTAAAAAATAGTTGTCAGTTTCTAAACATACAAGTTAATGAAAGCACAAAGTCCAAGATCAATGTCGGCAAAATATGCAGTCTTTGACTAAGAAGGTGCATCGTTCCTTTTAAACCGTGACTGCATGTGGAAAATTCCAGATTAATGCCATCTGTGTTGATAATCGGAGATAATCTATTAAAAATGGACAAACCCTGTATGATCATTATGTCCAAAATTAAGGGCCTTTAAAAGAAAAAAAAAATACGGACACATACATTTTTTTCCCCCGTTAAGGACGCTAAAGTAGAAGCATGAAATAAAGAGCTAATTAAAGGAAAGAAGCTGCGACAGTAAAGACTTTATTAACATCAAGGACGACAAAGAGGATTTGGAAAGCCATTTCATTTGCTAGCATTTTTCCACAGCTGTCGAAGTACAAAGTCACCATAGTCAACTATTTGTACATTTTAAAGCACTTAATGTTTATCTCTACAGAAACATTATGGAGAAGGAAGTTTCATTCCTAAAAAGGACATGGCACTGATTTAAAGACTATGGTATCTCTAAGCCATTTCCCAGTATTAGCTTGAAAAGCTGAATCCTGATTTTTTTTTTCCTTCTCTGTGAGCAATAACTGTAAATATATATATATATAGAAATGAATGGCTAAAGTTCACCAAGCTGCAAATACAACAGAGTCAGGGAATAACATGTTTAGCAGGTGTGGATGGACACCTTTAATGATCCAGGGTGTAATTATTGTGAGCCAACAGGCTATTTATCCTGACCACAACACTTATGTCATTACACTTGTAAATGCAGAGATCCAACTCATCTGCACTGAGCATTGTCCATCAACCTTGTTAAAGCTCATCTTTAATTTAAATTTAAGTTTATGAGGCAGGTGTACTGATCCTCACCATTAGCAGACATTAGGTCATCAATAAGGTCAACAGCTCCTATGAGAGAATTAAGAAAATGGGTTTAAATTAAACACCAATTCATTTAAATTCAACACACTCAATAAAACAGGTTATATAGCTGATTATCAAGTCTCCAAGCAGTTCTTAACTCCAATAGGGGGCTCCTTTTCATTTAGCACAAGAACATGCAAGCAGCAGGCCCGATGGACAACAATCATCCCAAACTCACATTTTGCCATTTATTTGCAGCATTGAAGCTGCTGAACAAATGGAGAGACTACCGGTACATGGAAACAAAGAACTATTCTTTATATGAGCAGTTTGTGGGTGAAATGTAAACAAATAACACTAGAAATTGGAGATGCTTTCTTACTATTTTAAAGGGTTCAACTTGGAGGGTGTAAAAATTACAGATTCTGAATGTAAACTGTTTAAGAAAGTTATTGAAAAAAAACAAAACATCAAACTACCTTTAATATTTATTAGAGGAGTTCCCATATTCTGAGCCTCACCATCTCTGTTGTTTCTCATGCTGCCGCCAGTGCTTAATCTTAGCAGGTGGCCAATATCCAGATCAGCCTGGTACTCTGGGTCCTCCACGTCTATTTGCTGCTGATCCAACACTACTGCTGCCACTGATTCACTCTGACACTCTGCAGAAAGTATGAGATATGAAGCAGGCATACTGTGAAAATGTCTCTTCTTTATGCTCTTAAAACTATTTTCTCTCTCTCATGTTCATCTGAAAAATCAATCTTCAGCTAGTTTGCTAGTTAAGTTGAACAATGTCAACCACCAGCATCTAAAAAGAGGATAGTCTCCAACAATTGACATTTAGTCATGGTTTCCAGCACAATCTTGTGTAACCACAAGAGAGAATAACCAAAAACCTTTTCCGTTTCTACCAATTCCTCTTATTCCAGTAAATAAATAAAAAAAGTCTGCGTCAGTTTCACTTTAACAATACGAGCAGTTAATTGCAAAACTGTTGCATCAATCAACCCGTTAGTCATTGTAGAAATTGCCTACATTGTGAAAGCAAATTTGCATGACAGGAAGTGGGAAAATAATGCAATGAATCTTCTTAAATCTGGCTGCAACAGAATAGTTGATTCAGTTGTTAAAAGTTTGTAATTAATATTCAATGTTACGTGTATTTGGTGCTAAATGAGAGCATTAAGCACTAACTGCAAAGAAAAAAAAAAAAGATTTGAGCCTTTATAGGTAATTTCTTGTAGTAATGCTGAGTGTTGCTTAAAACAACATTATTATCATGCACATTTGTAATAGTTTCATCAGATATATAGGCCTTGCTATGGATCAGTCCAAGCAGAAATCTAGCCTCTGATACAGATAAGTATTGAACATCCCACTGTTTATCTCAGTAAATGTATTTCTTGATGTGCTATTGACATGACATTTTCACCACATTTCGGTAACAATGCAGTCCACAGATACGAAAAAAAATAAAAATCAAACCATAGATGCCAAGAAAGCGAGTTATGTGTAACAATGTGAAATGACACAGGGCAATGTTTTGAACACGCTTACTGAAATTTATTTCATGCTTTGTACAAAAACATTTGTTGGCAATGACATCTTTAAAACGCCTCATGTATGGAGAAATTAGTCACATGCATTTTGACCCATTTTCCCGCACAATCTTGAAGGTTTCATAGGCCTCTTCTCTGAACTCTGATCTTTAATTCTTTCCATAGATTTTCTATTGGATTCAAGTCAGGTGATTGGCTGGGCCATTCTAACAGCTTTCTCTCTCTGAAACCAATTGAGAGTTCCCTTGGCTGTGTGTTTGGGGCCATTATCTTATTGAAATGTCAACCCAAGTACCATCTTCATCATCCTGGTAAATGGCAGATTTTCATCAAGAATGTCTCTGTACATTTTTCTATTCATCCTTCAATTATTTGAAGTTTGCAAGTACCATATGCTGAAAACCCACCACACGCCATGATGCTCCCACCCCCAAACTGCATTGATATGGGGTTTTTGGGGGTGATGTGCAGTGTCATTTGACCTCCTAACATGATGTTTATTATGGCGTCCAAAGAGTTCAATTTTGTTCTTATCTAACCAGACTATATTCTCCCAGTATTTCATAGGCTTGTCTAAATGTTATGCAGCAAAACTTAAAACGAGCTTCAACATGCTTTTTTTTCAGGAAGGGAATCTTGCGTGATGAGCGTGCATACAGGCAATGGAAGTTCAGTGTATACACATTTTCTTTGAAACAATTGTACCTGCCAATTCCAGGTCTTTCTGAAGCTTTCCACAAGTGGTTTTTGGCTCTTGGACAACTCTTTACTCCTTTGTTAGAAATCTTTTAAGGAGCACATGGCCGTTATCAGTTTATGGTGAAAGGATGCCATTTTTACTTCCAGATTATTGTGTTCACTGGAACATTCAAAAGTCACTATGATTTGCAACAATAAGGTTGTGAAGGTCTTGAGAAAACTCTTTACTTTTACCCATCATGAGATGTTTCTAATGTGATACCAGAGACACCTTTTTATACGCCATCATTTGGGAATGAACCAGCTGATATTAATATGCACTGACAAGGGGCAGAATGGCTTTCTAAATACTGAGTTTTCTCAACTTTCACGGCTTTCCATGCCTTTTTGCACATCTCTTTCTTCCCTTGTTCAATACTTTTTCCCTAAGACATTCCACAATATTACACATAACTTAATTTCTGGATGTCTGTGGTTTAATTTCTTTGTATGTGTGGACTGTATGGATTGTTACGGACATCTGGTGAACATTTCATGTCAATAGCACCTCTAGAAATGTATTTACCGTGACAATTTGCAGCATTTTCAATACTTATTTTACCCACTGTATATAGGCAACATTCGGCACAGTCACCATTGGTGCCATCAACTATCTGATTAAAGTTAAAGGAATCTGCAGTAAGGGAAATCTCTAGAAAGACCTCAGCAGAGATCTGTTTTATGGTCCAAACTATACATCATTTTTAACATAGAGATCACTTTCATTTCTGTTTTAAAATACAGCAACATGCATCATTTTTCCTGTTCTGGCAGGTGAAAATAAAATCCCCAACATCTGATATTCCTGTGAGAAAAGCTCCATTCAGATCAGATTTCGAGGTAAGTGCAAGAAACTCCAACCTTTGTGATTCAGTTTGATCATCCACATCATTAACATGCTTTAAAAACCAAACAGGCATAAGAGGTATAAGTCAGCAGCCCATCCCTAATGCTGCTAAGCTAAGTTTATCACTAGACAAATAAAAACTTAATGTATTTTGACTCTCTCAATCTCTATGTCTCTCGCAGAACGACCTTCGAGTTCAAAAGCTCAGGTCATCCATTGAGGAAATGGTCCGAATCTTCTTTGCAAAGTAGCTGAAACTGAGACCGGTGGATGAAGTGTGTTGGCAAACAATTCAAGACTTGACCCAGTTTTAATTTGATTTGTTTAAGGTCACTAATCAGCAGGAGGTGCATTTCTATCTCAGTTTAACATTTTTCTGTAGTATTTCCCTACATTTAGCTAGCCTGACGTAGTCCGACTCAATTCTAGTCAGAATATGAGTCTGAT